CGCGTAACTGACGATGTGGTCCATATACAAGCCACGTCGTTGACTAAACCAGCTGAGTCACGGAAATGCTGGCAAATCAGCCAATGAAGGCGTGCCGCAAGCCTCATCCTAGCTGCTTCCATGCAGCGCTGTGCCATCACAGCGTTGCTTGACGACATCCAAGGGGAGATTCCATTCAGGGCCCACCCACGACCGTCCATTGCACAAAATCGTACGCTGGATGCTCGTGAAGGGGCTGTTCGTGATCGATAGGGACGAGGAGTCACGCACGTCCCTTCCTTCCCCTCCATCCCATTCTTGAAGTGGGTCTACCTGACCTTTTGCCTCATTTCGCCATTCAGCAGCAGAATGCCTACAAGACAGCCCCTGACAGGGCTGTCTCATGCACCCCACTCGGTTTCTGTTAGAGGCTCCCGCCATGGCGTATGGCACAGGCATGTTGCGTGTGCTATCTCAGAGAGGCCCTTACGGTCAGCAGGCATTCTTCCACCATCCATCCCGACCGACAGTATCGTCGCCCTCTCGGAGCCCAAGTCGCACGTCTAGCGAGGGCGACAACACCGCCACAGACTCAGCTCATACGGAATTCGTTCAACACCTGTGGGATCTCGAACGCGTTGGATGGCTCCGGGGACAACTTGGCTCTCCGTCACCTCTGCGAGAAGCCGGGCGTGGAACTCTTGGACGACGTCCATGTTCAAGGGGGTGAGAGCGATTATGTCAACCCTCTGTATGACCGCACGATCGACGTCGACGAGGACTTAGCCGACGACGAGGAGCATGATGCCACGGCGGCAGCAGAAGCGATGGCGACATGGATGAAGCGGCAGCAAGAGCGGCAGTAGCAGATGATGCCGACCTCTCTACAGCAGAGGCAGAGACAGAAGCAAAAGCACAACGAGCTGAAGACAGTGTGGAGTGGCCGGCTGAAGGCATTGTGAAGAGGATGATAACAGCCACTGGTGGGCTGATCTGGCAGATGGGAGTGATGTTGAGGAGTGGCATGCTGGCGACGATGAAGATGATGACGAGGACGACTAGAGCACGTGGCAGAGGCAGTAGCAGCATGAGCTAGAATAGTGGTAGCTTGTATTGTGGTCCCCTTATATAGCTCTAGGACATCCAAGCAGGCTTAGGTTGTTTAGCTAACCTCTAATTCCTGATTGTTTAGTGAAGATTCACTGGAATGTAGTGGCCCGTTTCGGGGGAGGGTGTTCAATTGATTTCAACCCCAAAAGTAGGGTGGTAACTGGATCCAGTCTAATTAAACACCCATACCCGTTCAAGCCACCCATGGGAGCTTAATTCCGGCAGGTACTGTATCCGGGAGAATACGGTATGTGCGAAACTTGCAATTATGTTTACCACTGGAATATGTTAAAATGAATGGAAATGTCATAAATCAAACCCCAATTTAATAAATGCAGCGAACACGGGTGTAAAAATGGTTCAACAGAAAGAGGCCATTAATTCAACTTTGTATTATTCTATCAGTACAAAGCCAACAACAGGTGAGAGTGTACGTGCAATCTGTCCTTGTAGGCTAAGTCTCGCCTAATCTGGCCGAACCTACCACCCCTGTTATTTTGCGATGCCAGGCTGGCAGTCCACTTTTGTGAGAGTGGCCCGTCACCCAAAGTTTAGGATGTTGAACAAATGGTCGCCTCTGCTCGATAAACATCGACGGAGTTCAGTAACAATAGGGGGATGGGCATGTTGCAGCTGGAACGAAAGCACAGCGTGCTGGGTTATACGTGAACACGAGCATCGTAAATTGTAGCCTGCCCTAAAAAAGCCTTTAGGCAGGCTCTCTGCATCGTATGGCTGGGCAGATGCGCACGCAGCAGGTTCGAGGTTTGGTGTGAGCCTTGTAACAATCCCGAGGAGGGATAGGTTGATTGACACAGCCAGGCAGAAGTCGACTGGTCGATGAATCTTGGCCGTGCAAACTGCTCCTCCCCGCATATCACGGCGTTATCGGATGGTTGACTGTATTGAAGTTCCTCTCCCAACCAAACCTCCCCCGTTGGTTCGTCCTGTTGCCTCACAGGCCGATCCATCATCTCCACCCCCTCGTTGGCTGCTCCACCCACTCCTGATTGTGTACCACATCCACTCCACTCTTTTGTAGCCCATTTCGTGCTATCCCTTCCATTAGCATTTCACCCAGTCTAGCTGTAGGGCTTGCACCTGCTCCAAAATGGCCAACGAAACCCTCAAGCGCGGAGAAAGAGAGCGCAGGAATAGCGTCAAGCTGAACGGCCCCTATGTTATTGAGGGAGATGAGGATGGTCCTGCGGAGCACCAGGGTCGCAAGGTGACGCCTAGCGAGACGAAGGAGGCCCTCCTTGAGTACCGGAAACGGCATCCATGTTCTGTCAGGGGCTGCAAGAAGGGAGATGGTAGCGATTATAGCAGTGACGACGAGAGCGACGATGGGGAGGATGGCGCACCATACGATGACGTTCCAGAGAAATTGCGGTCGCCAAAAAAACGAAAGCCACCCAAGAAGAAGAGCATTCATGAGCTCGACCCCGAGGCTGTTGAGAGGGGTGAGCTTTCTTCACCCCTCATCACGCTTGGTTGTATGTGGTTGCACATGGGGAGTACTTACTCATGGCCTAACCGCCATGTCGAGCGTTCCATTTGTTGGCAGGTGCGAAGCGGCGCGCGGTCTCGACGAACAAGAAGGCTAACGGCAAGGAGAAGAAAAAGGGACCGAAGCAATCTGTGGCAGAGGGAGAGGTAGATCGGAAGGAGGCGGCGAAGGACACGAGTTTGCGCGGGAAGCTCGGCACCGCGGAAGAGAAGATGGAGATGGCGGGGCAGAAAGATGGGTGTGGGTCACTTCCCGAGAAGAGTGCTTGCGGGAAGGATGAGGCGGGCGAGATGAAGACGGCTACAGAGGTGGAAAACAATAAGGAGTCGGGCGGGTGTGAGGTGGCATATGACGGGCGTGACACGCCTGCTGAAGGGGCGGACGGCCCGTGGGCAATGGTTCCCGCCAGAAAGGGAGTGGACGGAGGCACAGTGGAGATGCATGTGGATACTTCGGTACCTATGGCTGGTGGCGTGTCCCCCCCTCGGACCACGGAAGCAGGAAAAGGCAATGACATGCCTGCAGTGCAACCTTGGGGCTCCGCGGATGGCGCGGATCATGCGCCAGACGGTGGCGGCGAGGGCAAGAAGGCGGCTCATCAGCGCGGTGCTGTATTGAAGCCGAGGACGCCAACCCCTAAGAATCGCGGAGGCCTCCGCCCCAAGAAAGAGCACAAGGAGGAGGTATCTGACGACGATTCCGATGAGGAGAGCACGGAGTCCGCAGCAGTTCCGGCAGCGAGGAGAACTATGATGACGAGGAGTGTGAGAGCGAGTCCGCAGACTGGGAGAGAAAATCCTGCGATGACAGCCATGGTAAACGTCATCAAGGGAGGCGCGGCGGCTCTCGACGTCGCAGGCGCGGTAAGACCAGCGGACGTGGCAACCACGGGTGGGAGAAGAAGCGGCAGCGAGGGGGGTTAGAGGACCGACGCCGCACCAACAGCTCCAAGGATCGGGCATCCAGGGGCAAGCAAAAGGGATGGAAGTCGAAGGATGATGACGACGCCTACGGGAATGAGCAAAGCGACTCAGAGAGTGAGTCCGCGGGGGAGCTCGAGCCCTGCCACAAGAAGCGTCAACGCGGCGGCGACCGGAGCAACGTGTACGCAAAGGCGGCCTCATCCAGTGATGAGGAGGAGGTGGTTGCCCAGTGGAAGCCTAACAAGAGCGGAAAGGATGCACTGGACAAGTACCCGAGGGGATCCAAGAAGGCGGACTCAGGTTACGGAGGGGAGGACAACGATGAGGAGGCGTCGGAGAAGAACCCACCCAGGGTTCGCGAAGCTGCGAACGAGCGTCGCCCGTGGCGTGGCGGGAACAATGCTCAGAGTGGCAGCGAGTTGCGTATCAGTGTGGCGGACACACGTGGGCGCGCGGCGGGTCATGCTGGATTGGAACGCCGGAAGCAGCAAAGTGATGATGGCCGTGCTACTGGTGGGATGTGGGCATGCGCCACGGGGAGTATGGGCCTGAGGGGAACCATCAGACACATCAGCATGCCACCACAGGTTCTCAGCGCAAACGCGCTGCGGCCGAGTATGAAGGCGCTGGCGGGCATGACGGGAAGCGTCGGCGGCCTGAGGGTGAGGACTCCAAGGGGGGGCGCTTCTCCTGGGAAGACATTGCGGATGCAGAAGAGATGCCGACCTACGTGACACCACAACTGCTGTGGCGGGCGTTGAGGGAGGCCATAGGGAAGATCCAGGAGTTTAAGGGAGAGCGGGATCGAGGCCTTCCGCGACTCGCTTCCGCATCCAGCGGCCCCGATACCGGCACGGATCTGGTGGGCGAGAGCACGGGGATGGCAGTGGTGCAACGGAAGAAGGGCATGCCCTCGCTGAAGAAGATTGGGGTGAGTCATCAATGAATCGCTCTTCCTTGCAAGGCAAGACTTGCATGTCGACTTGGTGTCCATTGCTTGTACGTGCCCCACTTACAACCGCTCGGCTGGCCTGACAGAATCTGGTGACAATTTCCTTTGCGTTGGATCTCGTCATCCTCAGGCCCGTGCGACCCTCTCCCTCCTGCCCTTGTCCACAGGTTCTCTCCATCCAGCGCATGGCCCCAAGTTCTCCTCCTCGTGAGCTTGCCCTGTATGTCCTTTCCCCCTTACCCTCTCCCCCCTGCCCCCGCCCACAGGTTCTCTCCCTCCTGCCCTTACCGTGAGATATCTCCCTCATGGGAATGCCATGTATGCTCTTGGCCACCGACCCTCTCCCCCCTGCTGTTGCCCACAGGTTCTCTGTCTCACCCCCATTCTGCCCACAGGTTCTCCCCCTGATGTCGATGCCTTCATTGCCTTTGCCTGCCTACCCTGTCCATCCTGCCCTTGCCCACAGATCACTCACATGCCATTGGCCGGTGGTTGTCCACCTCATGACCTTGCCCTGTGTGCCCTTGCCCGCCCACCCTCTCCTTCCTGCCCTTACAGACAGGTTCTCTCCCTCTTGCCCTTCTCCACATGTTCTCTCCCTCCTGCCCTCTGTCCGCAGGTTTGCTCGCTCATGTCGTTACCCTGGATGCCCCTGCCAGCCTACCCTGTTCCTCGTGCCCCTATCCACACGTTCTCTCCATCCTTTCATTGACCTCGAGATCTCTCCCTCATGTCGCTGCCCTTGCCCGCCTACTCTCTCCCTCCTGCCCCTTCCCACAGGTTCTCTGCCTCTGGCAACAAGGAGTACTTCTCCCTCCATCCTTTGCATGTTTGTTCCCCTCCCTCCCACCCATACCCATAGCTTCTCTCATTCCTGGTGTGGCACACAAGTTCTCTCCACATCTCACCTGCTTTTTGGCATCTGCTTTGCTGCCATTTCCCCTCCGTCTCCCCATGCCTCTGGTTGTCTGTCCCCGCCCTCTCTCCCCCCCCATTCCCCCCCCCCCCCCGACGCCCATCCGTCCACAGATCCATTACGAAACCTCGCGCGACCGGATGTGCATCGATGCGCCTGATGCGGGCATTGACTTCTACACGACCTTCTACCTCCGCATGGTGGACCTTCACACGGTTTTGGTGATGGAGGGCTACGACGTGTCTTTCGTGGCTGTTCAGGAGGCAATGACCGACAACAACTACAACGATAAGTTCAAGCGTGTATGGACGCAGTGGAAGAACGAGCGGGGGTTCCTGATCAAGAGGCGGGTGTTGACGGAGCTAGGGGTGAAGGTCAAGTGGGCGAGGGGCTCCAAGATCCATGTGGACCTTGATGACAAGATGGCCCTCTGGCATGACTTCAAGCCTCGTAAGTACTCATGTAGCTGCGCGGTCACAGTTGTTTAGTAGGGCGCATGTCATTGAAGTTAATACCTCGTGTTCACTCCCCATATCCTCACACCATTTGAGCATCATGCACCTCCATCTGTGCTGCCGTTACCCCCAACAGGAAGGAGGTTTGGGCAGTTGGTGAGCACCTGGGGCTCGGCGAAGCCACCCCCAGGGGTGCACTCCGGGCAGCCTTTTGCCAACAAGATCTTCTTTCAGGCGGCGTTCGATGCGTTTCAGCAGTGGGCTGTGGCGGGGAAGCTCTGTCTGAAGGCGTATCACATTGCCTGGATTATCATGGTGGTAAGTGGCGGGGAGCGCGCCTTAAAGGACGCCGTGGCTTGGGCTCTACTATCCTCCCGATTGTGCTCGGCTCATGCAACCCCATTCCCGTCCCCCACCTCCCTGACCCTTTTACAAACCCCCTCGGCCACCCTCTTCCCCAGGTCGACTATGGGCTGACCCGCCGCAGGCACACCACGATGGGCCTCTCTAACTCACACCCCAAGAACAAGGCCTGGATAACGGACCTTCACAAGAGGGTGCGACAGGTGGTCATTGACCACTTCAGCAACTACCCCAAGGAGTACAGCAAGGACATGCGGGGGTGGAAATGGGGAGAGTATGGACTTTACGTCCATGAGAGTGGCTTCAAGGACGAGTGGCAGGAACCAGGGAGGGAGGGCAAGGGGAAGGCGCCCAAAGGTGGAGAGGGAGAGGCTAAGGATTAAGGGTCCTTTTGCAGGGGTGAGGCAGGTATGTGCAGGGGTGGCATCACCACACCGTTCAGGGCAGGGGACGGATACAACTGGGACGGAAGTGGAGCCAAGTATTGGCGTGGGCTCTGGAGGGAAGGGTCTGTCAGCATCATTCTGAAGGGGCAGCCATCCCACAATGGGAGGGGCTTATTGCAAGCGCCAGTACTGGCGTGTGCTGGGTTCATAACCATGGGGTGTTTGCAGATGCATGATGTGGCAGCGTCGTTTGAGGGGTGGGGTGCTGGCAGCGAAATGATGTGAAACAGGTGGGCTGGGCGGGTGGTGTGCGGGGCTTTCAGGACCAGCAGGTTGGGGTGGGGGCGCTCGAGGGCGGGTTCCTTTTGAGGGATGTGAGTGGCCTTGACATTTGGGTATCACACTATAGTGGGTATTGATAAAGCCGCTCACAGCAGCGGCAAGAACTGGAAGTTGTGGTTGGGAGCATTTGTGATATGAGGCACCGGCAGCAGCGCATGAGTGGGTTCGGCATCAGGCTGTGGTGGGGGGGGGGGAGTTAAAGGGTTGAGGCAACAGCGGGCGCGAGGAATGGATATGAGCATCAGCTTGGGGAGGGGGGGGATAGGGGACTGGGGGATGAGGCACAGGTGGCAGCAGCAAGGGAGGGGTCTCAGCAGCAGCCTGTGGTGGGGGGAGAGGGGATTCGGGGAATGAGGCACAGGTGGCAGCAGCAAGGCAGGGGTCTCAGCCGCAGCCTAGGGTGGGGGGAGGGATTCGGGGAATGAGGCACAGGTGGCAGCAGCAAGCGAGGGGTCTCAGCAGCAGCTTCGGGTGGGGGGAGAGGGGATTTGGGGAATGAGGCACAGGTGGCAGCAGCAAGGCAGGGGTCTCAGCAGCAGCCTTGGGGGGGAGGGGGGAGAGGGGATATGGAGAATGAGGCATAGGTGGCAGCAGCGAGGGAGGGGTCTCAGCAGCAGCCTGTGGTGTGGGGGGGGGGGGGGGAGGAGGTTGTGGGATGAACGAACCACAAGCAGCAGCAGGGCCAGACTCATACCTTGGTGGTTAGCTAGGTTTATCATAGCTGCAGCGGCAGCGGTGGGAGTAGGTGGGGGCTTGCAGCAGCAGTATGTGCTCTCTCAACGAGGAAGGAGGGGGTTGATGCCATCGTACGGGTCGTTTCCGATTTACTTCCAGGGTAGTGGTCCTTTTGTCCGGATGCGGTTGGTAGGGCGATCACAGCTTGGATGCGGGTAGAGGTCTAAACCCTGAGATTTTGTGTCACTGATGTGTTTTCTTGTGACACTGATGTGTTTCTTCTACTGGCCATCTATACCAATTAATGAGCCTAATATCTGTGGCAATGGAGTACTAGCGGATGTGGCAGTAACGGATATAGAATGTACCAAAAAAAGGACAACAACACGCCTCAAACACAATGAATAGATGTAAGCGTGACGCGAACAAACTTGTAATGGTCTTCGTGCACAGTACAAAAGTTCTCTTCCAGCATGACCGCATGGTGACGTGGAGGTGTTATCGCGTACGACCAAATAACATCAGCGCGGTGTCGGCAAACCATCTGCGTGGCGTTTGACAAACCATTTGAGTGGTGTTTGACAAACCATCTGCGAGGTCTTTCCAACTTACACCGCGAAGTGTTTGGACCCACCAATTTGGAAACCACCTGAAAGGTGTTCGCAACTACACTGCGCAAATGCTTTTCGGACACTGAATTTTTGCGATGTAGGCTGTTGGCGGACGGAATCAGCTTCAGAACTACTAGCGGTTAGCAGACGGAAACGCCAGGAAAAATACCCGTCTCACAGGCGATCGAGGAAGAGGCCAGGAAGGAATCATCGCCTCCTCTACCCTATATGTTCGCACATTTATCATACTCGCTCAAGGAATTAGTGATTCCGTGATTCCTTACTGAGGCTTGCTACAGGGCGTACGACTAGAACAGTCCCGAGCCATCGCAAGGGTTCCAGACCTTTCACTTCGAGCCTCCTGGGCCTTTCCGGACCTCGCTACGACACATCGAGGCCCTTCGACACTTTTCCCGAACCTTCCGATCCTACGTCCAGGATCACCCTAGGCTTTCTATATACATGTCATATGCCCTGAGAGCCCGGGGGCGACGCGAGAGATTTTGTTTTCAACGAATTCGGGCCGTACGGTAGGGGCAACGTGGACTATGGGGTTTTCCCAGGAAATGGAGCGTTGTTTTTTGTGTACTGTGCATGGGCGGCGTGACTCGCATATGCAGCGATTGAGTAAACGTCGTTGCGTCGCAAGCCTTTCCGCGAGTGTATCAACTCTGCGTTACAACAGAATGCCCGAAATCACCTCTGTTGCTTACTGGACGATTTCCTGTTGGCATACGGATGACCGAATTTCCCAGGGCTACGCAGACGGATTCTGTTGACGTTGCTGGCATTAATCTAGTGGATCGTCACCGAGGTGGTCGTATCTATAGCATCATGTGGATTTTTGTGTCGATATTGGTTGGCGAGCCTGACACTTCTGGATGTTTAATGGCTCGCCAACCAGTAGGAGAGGTCGCCGTGGAAACATAAGAGCAAACTGATTGGACTGCCAAAGATCAGCCGAATTGACTGTCGTAGTTACTGTTCAGTTAAGACGGGTATACTTTGCGTACAAAGAGAGGCACTTAAGGATAAAATGCCTACAAGATACTCTTGGGTGTAAAAGGAAGTCGTCTACAAGGCATATGACATGTATTGTTTTGTCTTTCATTTTATTGTCATTCACAGTTTCGCCATTGCCCTCCGCGCTACTCGGTAGTCCCATTCATAATACTCGCCAAACCCCTATCATGTGTACTGTACAGTAATACCATTGTGAGATACCAGATGCAGGCTTTAAAGCCCGATGCCCAAATTATCCATGCGCAGGGTGTATGAACGTGAGCAGTGGTTTTAGCGAAGTCAGAAAATATCGCAAACCAATGAAAATTCGCAATCGTAACTGGAGAGGTGGTTGCTGGCTGCTAATCAGAAGCATTTGTTTTGCTCGATGAATCAATCGCGTTCTGTCTGCTGAAACAAGTTTGGTGAGGGCGTGTCCAGCACGTTTATTTTGCCCTAACACGCGCTTTTTACGTCTTTTGTACATGCTCGAAAAAATGTTACGGGGAATGTAGATGTCGCAAGGCTTTCGACCACAGAGAGCATGGTTGCCTTGGCCATGTGTCCAGCCTTTGACACGACAAATGCTCTGCGCAGCGAAATACAAAAGAACTTAGCGAAAGAAATGAAGTTACGGTATTACGAGCCTGGAAAATTAGGCCTCGCTGTTTTGGCCATGGCATTTCGGGCACGATTTCCAGCCGCTTTCGAAACGTGCGCAACACGACTGCTGGCACGCTTCGAGAGCGTCCGCTAAGAACGCGCACTTTCCGAACAGGTCCTCAAAAGACACTGATTTTCTAGTTACCACACCTAAATTCTGTACCTGTCACGCCAACTGAATATCGTAAGAACGCGCTGGACACGCCCTGAGATCCCTTGAATTTTGGGCCATCCAATTAACGTAAGTTCGATCCGACGGCCCAAATCCAAACAGCTGAAAGTTTTGAAATCGACGACCTTCAATCAGTACCGAGTTGTGTATCCGAGATCGACAAATCTCGACTGTCGAAATCAGAGAGGTTCTGCGTGTTTGCCGAGTCCCAAAACGCAGGCTGTTTCAACCAGTGTTTGTCGAGGGACTTGCACAGGTCGCAAACAACATACTTCAGTTCAAGTACACCTGGAGCACACCTAAGGCCCAGCTCAATACGTGGCCCAATCAGAAACCACCGCCCATTAGCGTTGGCACACGGGCAACGGCCCACTCAACGTGGGCCGTGAACAGAGCCACCAGTGTAGCGTCATCATGACAGCGGTGACGAACATGCGGCACAAGACGAAAGATGTGCGCCGCAACCGTTTTCGCCACAAACTTCCAGCCGCGCTCAGAATAGCGCTCCGGCGAAGCTCAGCGAGCCTTTCGTTGAGCTCGCAAAGGAGCGTATGCCTTGCTGGATTTGTTTGTGGCTTGAGCATCGCCGCATGAAACCGAACGTTGACTTGGCAGCGAAATGGACTCGCGATGTCCTGATGCCAAGGGCCGTTCTCAACATCCAACAACCAACCAAGGAACAAACTCGAAAACAAATTCCCACAATCCACGCAGCAGTTATTTTTAATTCGTAATGTAATAAATCTTTAGAACACGCCCCTAACACTTGGAACTGAAATGCGACTCCAAACCCTCGATACATTTCACAGAGTATAAAAGGGAGCAAACCAAACCAGAGAAACTCACTCAATATCTCACCCTCCAACCACCACTCTGGTGTTATACCAGAGAAACTCACTCTCGCTTGAAATCGCCGAAATTTAACACAAGGTAACTAAGTGAACAATGGCTCGCCAAAATATGCCACTCAAAACTACCCCGCAAAACATCAAAAGGGTAACCTTCGTGTCTGTGCAAAAGGCCCACATGCCCGTGACGATGCCGTGCAAAACCCCTGCGCGTTTTTGTCTACCGGCACCCTGAAAAGTTGTGTTTCTCTGTCAGGCTCAAGGTGTAACCCCTCCCACCGTTCATATGCAGTGGGCTTTAACCCCCCCCTAAAATCACCTCAGGCAGGTCAAACCAAGTCTCCTGCTCCTCCAAGCAAGTCGTGACGAGATGCTGTGTGCAGCTAGGCGAAAAACAGCCAGGCGAAATGCAGCCAGGCGGAATGCAGCTAGACAGCTAAGCGAAATGCAGCTAAGCGAAATGCAGCCAGGCGGAATGCAGCCAGGCGAAACGCAGCTAGGCGGAATGCAGCCAGGCGAACTGAACGAACCATTACCAAGGGTGCGATGTTAGTCGCACCCTGAACAGAGGGAGGCAAGGACTGCTGCCGCGCTGGCGTCGCGGAGCCAGCAAGGATGGTTGAATGGCATGGCAACTAACTACCCACCACGCAGATGTGCAGCACAGAAAGATCCGCTACAGCACTACTGTCGGTCTGACGCGTTATTGTGGTTTTTCGTACGGTGCTATGCTCGGAATATGGGCATCAGCTGTTCATTCAGCCTATGAACAATCTGTTCCGACTTCACAAAGCCCAAGTAGCTACGAGTGAGTACCACGAACAGCCAACTCCATCACTAAGTACATTCTATTAGGTTCTTAAGGGACACGTAGGTCACTTTTGAGTCGACTCAAAAGTTTCCTGCGGGACACGTGCTACTCTAGTGCCGCCGAGCACGTGGCGTCGCATTGTGAAGTAGTACTAGCACATGCGCGGACCGCGATGACTGTCATTGATCTGACACCCACATGCCGCCGCTCACGACGCGTGGCAACGAGGCGCCGGTTGGCGAAGGGATGGCGGGCAACGGGGAGATGGGACGTTGCGAGAGCGGCGGTGGCGCTCGTGGTGGCGAGCTGCTGCATGCCTCTCGCACGGCCCGCGCCCGTGGTGGACCCTGACAGTAAGCCATGATCGGCCTTTCTTTGGCATTCAAGTCAAGCTCTCTGCAGTCTTTGCGCTAGATTTATGTCTTTGCTGCTGCCGCACGCACCGCCACCCCTGCCTTGGTCCTGTGGCCATCATGGGTTGGGTATTCCCCAGTCCCAAATTCGAGAGCCGGAACGTAGCGTCCCAAAAATGGGGGCCTGTGTATGCACCGCGTAATCGCGGATCTTCTATGCATGTAACATATGACGGGATTCGCCATGCGGCATGTGCTTCTAGAAATGCATGGGAATCCCCGAAAGGGATAGCTAGGTACGCATGGGATTCTCAGATTGAGATGCCTGCTATCCGAACTAGACACTTGCTTGTCTAGGATCCTCTCTCCTACCTCTGCTGGAAGGAGATGTCCAGCAGAGCATAGCATCGAGGCGCTATGCCAAGATGCTATGTTTGATGGACAAGCAACTATTCTCCCGAGTCGCTATGCCGTTCCTTCCTAGTATAAATATCAGTCTCCCTATCTTGTATGTCTTATCATCTTCTTGATCATCTATCTTCTCTCTTCTTGGAATTAGTCTCCAGCCTAGTCGAATAAGCTTCCTCTTCTCTCTTCCGCTGCGCACCTCTGCCCTACGGCGCAGCCACGGCCGGTCTGGCCAGCCGTCTTGGCAGCGCCGTACCGTTTCAATGCACCTGAAATGTTGAAAGGGTCCTGCAGCTGACCGGCGTGGGAAAGGGGGCCGGATTTCCTCCTGGGATCACTAAAAGCCCAAAAAAAGAAGAAGAAGAAAAAAGCACCTGAAGGTTATGTAAAAACGTGTTCATCAGTGAAGCTCTTACATACTACTAGTTGTACGTACTCCGTATTTACGCAGTCTGTACGTGACCTACGAGTAGCCATCCAAACGTATAAACTATATGTACTATCATGTCGACCCGAGGCAAATTTCTGGGAGTCCATTGTGCCCCCTCTGCCCCAACTTTGCATTGGGGAATGGCTTTGGCGAATGGGCAGTGGGCGTGTTAGAGGACCTGGCATCTGTATGGAGGAGCCTCAGCGGCAGAGACACATGGGTCAGGGGCGGCGATTGTGAGAGAATGGATCTTGTGCGCTGCGATAGCAACGGGCACGTCATCATTATGTAAGCAGCTTTGTCGTGCTTTTGCCAGGGTGGACTTTCTTTCCTTAGTACGGATTACCGAGCCATATGCCGCGTTGGATGTTGAGGTTGACGCTGGCTGGCTAAACATTGATGCATCTAGCCCCCGCCGCTCCGTGACCTCTCGCTCATGATGTCAGACGTGCCTGGCCTTACTTCTACTCTCTCCCCTCTCCCCATCCCTGCCCTGCTGTGCTGTGCAGCCAGATAAGCAACAGCAAGATAGCGGCCTCCATCCCACAGAGCATCACTGCTCTGAGATACCTCGCATACCTGTGAGTGGCCTTCCTGTGGCTGTGAACGGCCTACCCGTGACTGGCATGGGCTGAGTGGATCAGCTGAGTGGCATGGGGGACGAGTAGGGCGTTGCGAGGGTGTGACGTAGTGCAGACTGCATGTGTGGCGCAGACTGCACGTGTGGCGCAGACTGCGCGTGTGGCGCAGACTGCGCGTGTGGCGCAGACTGCGCGTGTGGCGCAGACTGCGCGTGTGGCGCAGACTGCGCGTGTGGCGCAGACTGCGCGTGTGGCGCAGACTGCGCGTGTGGCGCAGACTGCGTGTGGCGCAGACTGCACGTGTGGCGCAGACTGCACGTGTGGCGCAGACTGCACGTGTGGCGCAGACTGCACGTGTGGCGCAGACTGCACGTGTGGCGCAGACTGCACGTGTGGCGCAGACTGCATGTGTGGCGCAGACTGCACGTGTGGCGCAGACTGCACGTGTGGCGCAGATTGCACGTGTGGCGCAGACTGCACGTGTGGCGCAGACTGCACGTGTGGCACAGACTGCACGTGTGGCGCAGACTGCATGTGTGGCGCAGACTGCATGTGTGGCGCAGACTGCATGTGTGGTGCAGAGAGCATGTGTGGCGCAGACTGCATGTGTGGCGCAGACTGCATGTGTGGCGCAGACTGCACGTGTGGCGCAGACTGCATGTGTGGCGCAGACTGCATGTGTTACGCAGACAGCTTGTGTGAAACCCTGTTTTCCGCTTTGACGCCCACCTACTTTCCTCTTCCCCAGTCTTTCCCTGAGCTCCCCCCCCCTGCTCCTCCAACCGTGCCTTCTCCCCTGCAGCTCCATCAAGTACAGCGAGCTCACAGGCTCCCTCCCCGCTGCTCTCTTCACCATGCCCAGCCTCCAGCACCTGTGAGATTTGCCTTCTGCTCACGTCCACCCCGCTTGCCAATGCCAGTATGCCAGGGGTGGTCATGTGCCCCCGAGATGCTGCATCACGCCAATGAGATGTCGATCCATGCATGCTTTCCTCCCTCCTGTGCACCCTGTTGTGCCAATCGTGCATCCACACTTACTTACCTCTCGCATCCTACGCATGGGTTCCCATTGGCTAGAATGAATGACCGTGCACATGCATGTGTGCTGAATGGCCACGCATGTGTGTTGGCATGCGTGCAGTGTTCTAACAGGCAACCAGCTCACGGGTAGCATACCGGAGACAGTAGGAGTCGCAACGCGCCTGCGTACCCTGTCAGTATCCTCCTGTTCCTTGCACAGCAGCACTTCCCCCAGCCCTCTTCTTCCAATTGTCCACTGCGCTCTGCTTACTTCACACTGTCACACGTCCTGTTTGCTACCTCTCTCTCCTTCCCATCACCACCACCTGGCGTCCGCCAGCCTGTTTGCGCCTAATTCCTCCCCACGCCTCACACGACAGCCACCGCCCACCTAGAACCAACTGCTCCCGCCCACCGTTCTCTTCATGCCTCGTGCACATCCCTTTCGCCTGCCTCGCCCTGCATTGCCATCGCTGATGCCTGCGGCCCGTCTGTCCCCTGCAGGGCCCTCAACGCCAACCAGCTCAGCGGCACCGTGCCCTCCTCCCTGGGCGCTCTCTCTTTGCTCACCACCCTGTGAGTCGTGTGCTCTGGCATTCGTGTATGCACTGCAGCATGGGTCTATCCATGTCTCACGTCTATGTCCGCATGTGAGTCCCATGTTCCGTGCTCTGGGAAACGTGTAGCCTCCACCACAACAACCCCAGCACCCCCCACCCCCCTTTCCCCCCCTCTTCCCCCTCCCCCTCCCGCCATCCCTACCTTCCTGCAGCTATCTGAGAATCAATGCTTTCACGGGGTCCATTCCAGACTCCCTCAGCAATCTGCGGGTGCTACAGTATCTGTGAGTAGCGGCCACAGGTCGGCCACAGGTCCTGCAAGTGCTGGGATCCAATTTTGTGCTAGATTGAGTTGAGCTAGCCATGAGATGTCACTGAGTTGCACAGCTACCTTCAGCCACCATGCCCATGGGATGGGTTGCTTTGTCGTACTCCGTGCCAAGCTCCTGCCACGTGTACCTAGTACTTTGGTTCCTCAACCGTTCCGATACGTACACCTTCTCTATTCGCAGCTACTTGGATCAGAACGCCTTCTCTGGTCCCGTCCCTGCCTTTCTCAACAACAGCCCTAGCCTCAAGCACGTGTAAGTTTCCTCGCCTCCGCTCAACCTTCATTCTCCGTTCCCAGTCACAGCTGGTTGACCTTGCTGTTGATTTCAATCCTGTTCGCACGTCTCGCCTCCCTGCCTTCACAGCACTTGCTTCCCCTGACTCCGATTCAGTCCTCATATTTATCGCCCCTTGCGTACTAACCTCAGCATCCCCCTGGGCCCTGGCCACTCTATGCCTCGCTCTGATCCTCTGCTCCCCTGTGCTTCCATGGCCGTGCATCAGCTTCCTGCAGTACAATCACTTCACAGCAGAGATACCCGACTCCCTGGGTGCTCTCACTGACCTCCAAGGGCTGTAAGTTCAATTCACTGCTAAGCATGACTCGGTGTTGACCCATTCGGGGGGGCTGTGTGTGTGTGAGAGAGGGAGAGTCAGGGCGAAATTTGGTTCACAGAACCAATGCAGCATGAACTAGTTTCAGTTGCGTCAGACATACCTTCATCTGTGCAAGTCCGTCAAAGTGAAAATGGCAGGGTGTGAGGTGGGGATGGGAAGGGCCAGTGAAGGAGGGGAAAGAAAGAACAGGGTGAGAGGAGGGTAGGTAAAATAAGGGGCACCTAGGAGGACAGGGGAGGCGGAAGCAAGGCGTGGGAACTGAGTGAGGGAGCCATATCATGCTGGTTATTGTTTGTCTCTCCTCTCCTGTGTGCCGTTAATGTGACAGTCATGTCTTTCCTCTTTCTGCATCCGCATGTCCTCTTTTTGTATCCAATCCTCGTATGTCCTCTTTTTGTATCCAATCCTCGTATGTCCTCTTTTTGTATCCAATCCTCGTATATCCTCTTTTTGTATCCAATCCTCGTATGTCCTCTTTTTGTATCCAATCCTCGTATGTCCTCTTTTTTCCTCAACACCATCATGCCTGCCCTTTCTGCTCCTGCCCGCTTCACCCTCACACAAATTTCCCCCTCCGTCTTGACTCGTTGGTCTTGGCTTTTTGTCAACCCTCCTATCCGTTCTATTCCCAACCTTGTTTGCACAATGGCCTCAACAGGCTAGTAAGTGGCAACCACTTGTCCGGATCTCTTCCAACTGCATTGGGCAACTGTGCTTCGTTGATACTCCTGTACGCCACACTCTCCCCCTTTAATCTGGTGCTCCCTGGCTCCTATCTCACTCCGCGTATTCCCTTGTGCAACCCCTCCTGCAAGTGTGTTTTTCCTGAGCATCTCTGTTGTCGTATACGTGCCACTGGTTAATCTGCTGTCACCAAATCAACCCAAACTCCCGTCCCTCTCCCCCCTCTTCCCTTTGTGCAGCGATGTGAGTGGGAACAACATCTCTGGATCCATCCCCACCGCCCTTGGCAACATCCGAGGCCTGCAGTACCTGTGAGCTCCACACCACACTGCGTAGGGATCGGAATGGAGGGAGAAGAAGTGGTGCTGGGGTGTATTGCAGGTGCACGTTGGTCTGACGCTGGTGAAGGGAAAGAAAACGGGGTTGGGTTTGGCGTGTGGGGGGGCGGGTGAAGGTCTTCTAAGACACGTATGCTTCACATTCTAGTGTTGCTCTGACCACCAGCAGTGAGAACCCGTGCTTTTCAAGAGCCCCTTCACTTCACAAAGGCCTGGCTCTACTTTCAGAGGAATGGCTACCAGCAATGCACCTAATTTCCCTTGCTCAAAGTGCGCCTGGGGAGCTGTGACTTTCGCCTGTCCTGAGAAACAATCTCCGCTCGTTCTCTTAGTAGTCACGGATGGATGTTTCTTCGCTGCCTTCAGGGATCCATTGTGGCATTACTAGTGTACATAATTGCATATAACAGTGGAGTTCTTGCATGACGTGAACGGTGCATGCAGGTACCTGCAGTACAACAAGCTGAGTGGATCGCTGCCAGATGAAATGTCGCGGTTGCAGCAACTGGAGCACTGGTGAGGGCCGTGTGGAGCTCTGAGAACAGAGCTGCGGCAAGTGCATGAGTCGCACCACACTGGTACTCACCGCCTGCTCATTCCCACCTGCCCTTTCTTTAACCTCTGATCTCCCGCTGACAGTTCTTTTCAGTCAATGCTTCCACATCAGTTCTGCCCTTATGAGCTTGTGCCTGCTTTCAGAGCCAGTTGTGAGACGCTGAGAACAGAGGCATACCAAAAGAGTGCAACGTGCAATTTAGGTCAGCAAACATGAGAGAGCTTGTTTGTGTGCTCATACTCTGTGTGCTTTGTCTGTGTATCAGGGACGTGTCCAACAATGATCTAGGCGGAACTTTGCCCACATGGGTTGACAATATGAAGAAAATGAGTGTACTGTGCGTGATGTACCATGGCATAGCACTATTATAGCACATCACAGGGTGCCCGCACTACTCCTTTCTTTCTCTGTACATGCCTTTCATGCTGTTCCACATCCCTCCCTCCCTCCCCTTCATCACCCACCCCCTCGTCCTCCCCCTTCTCTCATCCCCTTGCATGCCGGCATCAGTGGTCTGGGCTACAACTTGTTCAACGGCTCTGTTCCAGAGGCATTGGGCAACTTGCCAAAACTAGCTTACCTGTGAGTGACATGCGGTGAGGGATGCACGTGTGTGAGTGTGGCGGGATGTAGAACAGTGTGCAGAGAGTGGTGGTGTGATGTTTGAGTGAGCTTGAGAACTCTCATCCACCCTCCCGTCCCCTCTCCTACTCTCTCGCGTTTCCTATATTCCATTCTTCCCTCCTTCCTAATTGTCCTCACCCGATCACTCCATTTACCCACCTTCCTCATCCTCCACCCCCTTCCACCTCCTCTCCTCAGGTCACTCAACTACAACGTCCTTTCTGGATCCGTCCCCGACTCACTGGGGGACCTTACTGGTCTGGAGACATTGTAAGAAGGTAGCCTGCATTGTGCTATGGTTGGCTGTAGATATGCTTGGCTGTAGTGTGCTGTGCTTGGCTGTAGTGTGCTATGCTTGGATGTCGTGTGCTATGCTTGGCTGTAGTGTGCTATGCTTGGCTGTAGTGTGCTATGCTTGGCTGTAGTGTGCTATGCTTGGCTGTAGTGTGCTATGCTTGGCTGTAGTGTGCTATGCTTGGCTGCATTGTGTTATTGTGCAGTGGTATTCACATGAGCCTGGCATTTGACCGACCACCCACAATGAGAGTGAATGAGAGTCCTGCTACTTGTGGGGTCGGACAGGCACAAGGTATGGACAGGGAATCAGAATAAGATGTCAAAGCAGGACCAATGTCGTCAGACACCGAAAGAAACACTACTACTGGGCACAAGAAACATGACACCTTCCAAGAGCACTACATTTGGCCATCACATTTTTGTCTAGGCTGGACTGCTGTTTCACGCAACCAGAAATTGAAAGTCAGCGAGACATCACACACACATTGAAAGCACCGTCCTGTGCCATCCTGGCATCACCCTGGCAGGTACTTGGATCACAACTTTCTGTCTGGCACCATTCCTGCCTCCCTGGTCAACCTCAACCAAGTCACTACCCTGTATGCCCATCCTCCCTATTCTCTTCCTTCCCAGTTTGATTTTTTTACAACTCGAAAAGGAGAGGTAAGGAAGGGAGAGGAGTGGAGGGAACAGACAGGAAGGTGAAAAGCAAATCATTCTGCTAGTGTATGTACGTTTCCAAAAGCTACCTTACAATGCCAAGTCTTTCTCTTACATAGCTTAAGTTACCTGCCTTATCCTCGTCAGTTCAAACCTTCTCCAGGGCTCTGACCTCCAACTTCTTTGCGGGAACGATCCCTGCAGCATTTAGCACACTCACTCGCCTCAAATACCTGTGAGAATTAGAGACTTCACACCATCTAGTTGCCAACATCCTCCCTCTGCCTGTTCAATCACTCGCCCTTTTTTCACTATGCTTTCGACATGCTGTGTCTCTCACTCACTCTCATTGGGCTGTCAGAAGCTTGAGAACCCCTGAGCTTTAGGAAGGTTGGAGTGGAAATCCCAACTGAATCAAGGGATGGGCCTATTAGTACCTATTCGCCCTTGCTAGACTCGTGCCACTGCTGTGGCTCAACACTGACCTGCGTAGTTTCCACAGAGATGCTCCTCTCCATTTTCCCCTCTAACCCGTGTTCTCCCGCCATCCGCCTCACCCTCTAGTCTTCCCCTACCCCTGCCCCCGATCGAGCCTGGCACAGCCTTCTGGACAACAACCAGCTGGTGGGCAAGCTGCCCTCTCTGAAGCTCATGCCGTCCCTCAAGACCGTGGCTGCACGCAGCAACTTCCTCACCGGTGCAGCAGAGGCCCCCCCTCCGTGCCCCACGTACCAGCTGCTGCTGGACTCAAACTGCTTTGCTCGCAACCTAACCATCTGTGGCAGCCAGCAAACCCAGAGGGACACTGGCTTGTGCATATGGTTCTGTGGGAACGACCCCGTTAACCGCCCTTGTAGCGGTTATGGAGTGTGCTATTACCAGCAGGGCAACAGTGATGCCAAGTGTGCTTGTGATTATGGTTACACGGAGGGGACTCGTGGTGCCACATGTGTTCCAGAAGGTACGGCAAAGGGGCTGCCTTTCCTGTTCGCTTCTGGTTAAGCTTCTACACTGGTCACTTGAGCAGCGGTTCAATCTTAGAAGCCCAGCATGCTGATTCAAACTCAAAACATATGGTCACAATCCACAATCCACAATCTGGACACCACCTTCATCACATTCAGCACGACGTCCATTAGCTCTCCCCATGCACCCATGGCAGGCGTCTTCTCCATCTTTGCGTGCACCCCACTACAATATTGTTCCAAATTTCAACTTCCAACATCCATCCCTAACTTCCTACCTCTGCCACACTGTGTACCCTTCAGGGCCATACATCCCCTCCCTCCTCTCCTCCTACTCGCACCCAATGGCTCTCTTCCAGTCCGCCTCCTCTGCTCCCAACGGCTCCATCTTCCTCTCCTCTGCGCCATCCACTGCATCATGGGGAGCAGCCTTCACACAGCAGCCCATCGCCCTCTTCCTCCCCACCACCCGCAAGGCGCCCTGCGACCAGCCCATTGCCTTCTCTGTCGAGTTCGCCTTTCGAATGACCCCTGCTGCCAATGCTGGCAGTACCGGCAGCAGCACAGGTGGTGAGGGCCTGGCATTCGTTGTGAGTGCAGCGGCACCGCAGGGGGCAGCAGCGAGTGTGGGGCTGGGGGGAGTGGGGAAGCGGAGTGTGGGAGTGGAGTTCGACTCGGTGCTGAGTGTGAAGCACAGCGACCCCAACGACAACCACGTGGGCGTCAATGTGGGCGGCTCACCTGTGTCCCTTGCCTCTGCCACGGCCCCTCTCATCCTCAACGACGCCCAAACTAAGCACGCCTCAATCCACTACGACCCCACCAGTGGCGGCACTCTCCGAGTCTTCCTCTCAGCCTCCAGGCAGCAATCATTGAAACCTGTGCTGACGGCGAGAGTGTCCTTGTGCAGGGCGCTCAAGCCCTCCATGGGGGATTCCTCCTTCCTCTTTGGATTCGTGGCTGCCTCTGCAAATAATACTACTCAGAAGCACGACATCCTCTGGTGGAACATCGTCACAGGTGAGTGCATTACTGCAATTGCGTCTTGCACTTTCACAGGCCATGTGTCAATGACGTGCTATGATGCAAATCCTGGGGGAAAGTTATGCTATGTTCTCGATTCTGCTTAATTAATCGCGAGTTACATCTGTGTGCGTGCATGTGTGTGTGCGCCTGTGTGTGTTAATGCATGCACGTGTGCATGTGTCTGTGTATGTGCGTGAGCATGTGCGGTGTGCATGTATGCGCAAGTGTATGTGTGCACGTTTGCGTGCATGTTTATTTCTGCACGTGTGTGTGCGTGTGTGTGCAAGCTTTTTTGTGCGTACATACAAGTGAGTGTGTGTGTGTGTGTGTGTGTGTGTGTGTGTGTGTGTGTGTGTGTGTGTGTGTATGTGTGCGTGTGTCTGTGTGTCTGTGTGTGTGTGTGTGTGTGCAAAGGGGTAATATGTGTGTGCGTGCATGTGTGTGTGCATGTACGTGTGTGTGTGTGTATATACCTTGATGCGTGCCTGTGCATGCGTCATCACGTGCATATGTGCAGGCATACTTCCTGCTGTGGACTGGCAGAATGAGGCCCCTGGTGAGACCGTCGCTATCCTCCACCATTAATTCCATCATTAATGTCCATCCAAGGAATTCACTATGGGCTGCAAAATGGCCGATTCCAAATAGAGTTTTCATGCCTTAGACACACAACCAGCTCCATTCTTCTCCTCAAACCGCTGCTCCGACCCTCCAGGCAGTGCATTTGGGCGGGTGGCATCAGCACAGGAGGTTGCAGCAGGCAGTGAGGGCGAGAGTGTACCCTCCTCCTTCCACTATGCCAGCCTCGCCTTCAACGCCTACAGCCCAGATGGTCTGGCCTCTTGGGGACTTCCCCCCTTTGTCTCTTGGATGTGGGATGACGCAACATGGCCCGTGAAGAACCAGTACGGTTGCGGTACGGCATGGGTGGTGTATGGCATGTCATCTTGCTAGATTCACACACAAACCTCGCACCATATGGCTACGAGGGCAACTGTCAGCTTGCGTTGTGCAACAGAAACTGCAGAAAGTAACCAACGCCAGGTTCTAGCAAGCTGCCAGTGCACACTCCCTAGCATCATCCCCACCAGAATTCACACGAGCACACTCACCAGTGCCCTTTGACCATCCGTCCTCCTGCCCCAACACCCTGTGCGCCCCTCCCTGGCCTGCAGCCGATTCCTCGGTGTTCGCAGTGGTGGCAGCGGTGGAGGCAGCCTACAGCATCGCGAGCGGCTGGTCGCAGCCCCCCCGGCTGTCTGTGGAGGCTCTGCGCATGGCCCTCTCGGCCAACTGCGACGACATGTCTCCCCGCGATGTGCTGGCCTTCCTGGCGGCTGCCACGCGCAAGGGAGGGGGGCTCGTGGATGAGGTAGCAGCAGCGGGCGCCAGACAACGCAGCATGGCGTCCGCGGGCCGGCAGGAGAGGCTGCAGGTGAGGCAAGGCGACTGGGCGGGAGAGGCTGCAGGCGAGGCAAGGCGAGTGGTGGACATTTGGGATGATGGGGAGGTGGGTTTTGGTAGGGCAACGGAGTGGGGGGATGATGAGGGATGCAGATTTGGATGATGCACGCTCACTTGCGGGCTGTATGCATAGTGAACATATTTTCCTGACATCTCCTGATCTCCTTCTGTTAGAATATAACATTCTCTTTATCCTACATAGTTTCGTATACTTGGGTATGTATAACCAAGTTGGGTTATCTAGGGGTGTAGATGAATGTTCGGTAGGATATTCAACCAACCCTTGACCTCAACTATCGAGGAGTTCAATCTTGTTGGCCTTCCCCCAACATTATTGGCTCCTCAATTGTTGGTGGTCCAACCTTCCCAACCATCATCGGTCCAGCCAATAATGGTTAGGTTGGTCAAACCCCCCTTGACCTAGGATTGGCTCCCTAGGTATATAACCTTGTATCACCCCCCTCTATAGTCAATTCTTCTCTTTACAATTTCTAACACCTTCCTCATGTGTGTTTTCATTCGGCAAGACAGCAACCGTGAAACCAGTCTTCTCACGTCCTTTCTGTACTCACAGCCCCCCACCCCCCTCCCCCCCAACCCCATTCCCTGCCTCAGAAGACGAGGTACTATGGGATTCAGGGCTTTGAGGAGAGCTCGTTTCACGGATTCCTGGGGCTGCTGCTGGCAGTGCAGCGGCAGCCAGTGGTTGTGAGAATAGAGGCATCCGCACCATCGTTCCTCAACTACGATGGGGTGAGCTGTCATGCTGTGATGGGGTGAGATGCCGTGCTGTGATGGGGTAAGATACCATGCTGTAATGGGGTCTGATACCATGCTGTAGTTTGCTGAGGGCCGTCCTGTAATGGGGTGAGGGCCCATTGGGGTCTTTGATGGGCAGAGATGCCATGCTGTGATGGGGTGAGATGCCATGCTGCGATGGGGTGAGATGCCATGCTGTGATGGGCTGAGATGCCATGCTGTGATGGGGTGAGATGCCATGCTGTGATGGGGTGAGATGCCATGCTGTGATGGGGTGAAATGCCATGCTGTGATGGGCTGAGATGCCATGCTGTGATGGGGTGAGATGCCATGCTGTGATGGGGTGAGATGCCTTGCTGTGTTGGGCTGAGATGCCATGCTGTGATGGGGTGAGATGCCATGCTGTGATGGGGTGAGATGCCATGCTGTGATGGGGTGAGATGCCATGCTGTGATGGGGTGAGATGCCATGCTGTGATGGGTTGAGATGCCATGCTGTGATGGGGTGAGATGCCATGCTGTGATGGGGTGAGATGCCATGCTGTGATGGGGTGAGATGCCATGTTGTGATGGGGTGAGATGCCATGCTGTGATGGGGTGAAATTCCATGCTTTGATGGGGTGACTCGCCATGCTGTGATGGGCTGACATGCCATGAGTATCAATACAGCTGATCAGGCGAAAGTAGAAATGTCATGTGTTGCCAGATGTTTCTGACGCTCAAGTACAATGGGGTGAGACGCCATGGGTCTGTGCATAGTTCATGTGCTTTTAATCAATGGGACCAATGCAGTGGATCAGCCAGCTGTAGGAAGGCCATGGGATGCAAGTTCCAATATCCCTTGGTCCTATACATGCCCACCCCGTCCCACTCCCCCACCTCACCGCCCAGACGTACAAGTACGCGGAAGGCAGCTGCTTCCAGGGGGCGGTGAACCACGCGGTGCTGCTGGTGGGCTATGCTGTGGAGGGCAGCGCGTCCAGCCCTTTCAGCCTGCCTGCGCCATTCTGGGTGATCCGCAACTCATGGGGCAGCGGGTGGGGGGATGCAGGCCACATGCTCATGGACATGCAGAGCGGCCCGGGCGTCTGCGGCATCAACACCCTGCCAGGCCTCTTCCCCATCCTAAGATGTAGGGTCAAAGGTTGCTCAGAGGGAAACATATCTGTGGCCAGCTTCTACGCGGTATTTTTTAGAATTCTCAAAAATACCCTGCAAGGTTGCTCAGGGGGAAACATATCTGTGGCCATCTTCTACACGGATCCTTTTGACCTGTCATGGGCCTTATGCTTGCTTCGGGCACTACACCTTACCATGTGCCTGCATGCATGCTGTTTCTGCCATGGCCCTTGTCTCATCTCTGTGCGCTGCATGGTGTGTCCCTGGCAGCTGCTGCTGACCCGTGTGGCAGCAAATCCGTGCAGCTGGCAGCATCACCGGGAGTGGCAGCAAGCAACGCGTTCAACCCGTGTGGGCAGTTCAAGTGCTCCAAGGCCGGAGCATCCAACCGCTGTGCCTGTGCTGCTCCCCACTTCGTCCAGGTCTTTCATCCCGATGGCTCAAAAACATGCGCCTATGGTGAGCCCATCCCGTCCCTCCACACACCCCCTCACCATCTTCTGCCAGTGCGTCCCATTTATCTCACTGACTCACACCTCCTCTCCCCCCCGCCCCTGCCTGCCCCTGCCTGCCCCTGCCTACCTCTGCCTGCCCCTGCCAGTGGACGCCTGTGGGCTGGCAGGCAGTAACCCGTGTGTGGTGGGCACGTGTGTGAACGATGGCAGGGGCAGCTACTCCTGTGTGTGCCCCCCGGGGTTCTTCCAGGGCACCACAACCAAGAAAACCCTCTCCTGTGCTCCTGGTACACTCCTCGCCCCTTTGCTTTGGGAAATGGACACGAGCCTTCCTTAATGTTTGTTCATAATTAAGAAATACTGCTATGTTCAAGCATGTTCTCTTGGCCAGAAGATTGTTACATTCATCTTTTGCATGCTGTGCTGATGCATGCAGGTGACAGCAAGGGCAGCTACGTGGTACTGGGCAGCAATGTGTGGTGCTCTCACTTGCTGCCTGTGCTTGGCCTCACACTGGACCAACTCAAGCAGCAGAACAAGGTCAGCATGCAGCCCCTATCATCTAGCCGGCTTTCTAGTAGCCAAATCAACATCTGTCAATCCATAGAGCCCTTCTCTCCCTCATGCCTGCAGAAGCTCTCCTGCTCCAAGCCCATCCCAGTGGGTTCCAAGCTGAGTGTCAAAACGCCGTACTTGCTTCCAAACTGCTCACTCCTCTACACCACCCAGCTTGTGAGTACGCCCACCCCACATGGCTCCTCATTTCCCTACTCTTTCTACGTGTTCAATCTGCTACAGCTGTTGGCACAAAATGAGTGAATTCCTAAGGTTTGTTGGGTTACCTCAAGACAGCAGCCTGTGCTCTATGCAGGGCGACAGCTGTGCATCGGTGGCAGTGCTATTCGGACTGAGTGAGGGGTGCCCCGTTGAGGGCGAGGCATGCGGGGAGGCGGTGGTGGGGCTCAACCCCGGGCTGGACTGTGCAGCGCTCACGGGCAGCCAGGCCGTGTGTGTGGAGAGGGAGGAGAGCAAGGCGGGGGTGGTGGCAGTGTGTGAGCAGCAGTACGAGCTGCAGGGCAGTGGCGGCTGCGATGCTGCAAGGATGGCCGTGGATCCACCTCTGAGCCCCTTGGAGTTCCACCGCCTCAACCCCGGCATCAACTGCAACACCCGCCTGCCGACTGCTTCGATTGAGGGCTACTCACAGCGCATGGTGAGTCCGTGTATGTGATTTGTCTTTGGACCAAGATGAATTTGTCAGATGCATGACTGCAAGCCATCCATTTTGGATGTTGCCTTCTCGTTCCTTTGCTGCAGGTGTGCATTCACAGCAGCACCAGCTACAAGAGTGGCACATGCCCAGGGGACAGCTACAGCATGGCAGCTGGAGACAGCTGCAGCATGATGGATGTGAAGGAGTTTGCCAGCATCAAGGGCTGCTACAGGAAGTTGAATGGTTTTGAGTGTATTGACAAGATGCCCGTTGGAACAACCGTATGCACCCCAGATGCTTCTAGTGCCAGGGTAGGGATGTGCTCAGCAGGGCCACCCCTAACGGACTAGCTTATTGTGAAGGTTGTAATGTTTATTAGTTGCAACTTAGGGCGGATTCCTACCAAGTTGGATCCAGCGAAGTTGGATCCAACTTCGCTGGGGGGGGGATCAGGGCGATGTTTGGGTGCCACCAGGAATATACATCTGGGAAGGGGGGACGAAATGAATCAGGTGGGTGTCGGTGGTCAAGAGAGGCGCGTGTGCCACTGACACCTACCCCGTACGCGACTCGACTGACATGCGCGTGGGGGGAAAAGGGGGGAGGAGGGGGGGAGGTAAACGAAAGTGCGAGCCCCCCCTACAGAAACCTCGCCCTTGAAATGGATATTTCAGAACAAGGCTCCCCCATTGTAGAAGGGCTTCCCACTCATTTTCCAGAATCACGAGCGACTTGCACTCGTGACTTGGACCTGGCGTGGTTTGGGAAGAAAGTGTTAGAATAGCGGAATGAATTGGAACAAGGTAGTACAGGTGAGGATATAGGGTTAGAGTTGTACCCTCTATGAACACAAACCTATCTAGCCTATTACTTCTACATATAAATATATGTATAAGTTGACACACCCCCTAGGCTAGATAAGGGGCAGTGCTGAGCAAGAAACACACAACTCAGGGTGGCACTACTAGTCCAACCACTGGGGTAAGGGTCTGAAGACCAGTCAGCAAGAGTACAAATTCAACAAGAGCAAACCACGGCGACACTACTAGTCCGGCCACTGGAAGAGAAGCCAAAAGGCCAGTCGAGAAAGTATATATGAAGAGGTATACACAATCAAGGTCCTAGCAAGTGAGGAGCCACAGGAACAAGACCAAGCTCTAAACAGTGCTGCTGATGATCTTTAGGCGCAAGCGCCATAGTAAAGATATCAGTTGTGTTGGCACCTGAGGCCAAGTGTACTACGCGAGCGTGGCGGCGCGGCTGTAGCTCGTGCATGAGAAAGTACCGCAGCTGGATGTGCTTCGCTCTGCCCTCGAGTTGAGGCTCCTGACACAGGAGGATCATGGCCCTGTTGCCAGCGTACAGAACCGGGGCAGAGCTATGCCGCTCACCTAAGTCATGGCACCGGCATAGATCTCAGCCTCACAACTCGACTGGGCAACAAACGAGGAGTGCGTGGACCTCCACGAGGTGGAACGTGAAGCAAGGCTAAAGCAGTAGCCCTGGGAGGACCTGAGTGTTTCAGCGTCGTCTGCCCAAGAAGCGTCTGTGTGCCCAACAAGGACCACTGGCCTGCGTCCTCCCAGCACTAGCCCCATGCCTGATGTACCTGCTAGATAACGCAAAACCCTCTTAGCGCCCGACCAGTGCTCTGGCCGGTGTCTGCCTGACGCCACAAAGCGAGCCAGGATGGTGAGAGGGTATGCGAGATCTGGACGAGTGCAAGTCATCAGGTACATGAGGTAACCCACCAGCTCTGCGTAAGGACCATTGGGCTCGACTGACTCCTTAGGAACTGGAGCAAAGAGCCTGTTGTCTACTGGCAGAGGTGTGGGCTGTGTAGAGGAGAACTGAAGACCGAACCTCTGAAGGACCTGGCGCACCAAGTGTGACTGTGTAAGAGTGATGGTGCGCGCTGCTCTTTCACTGGAGATCTATAGGCCAAGGTAGTGGTGCAACTCTCCTAGGCCAGTGCATGTGTGTCTCCTCAGCAGCTCAGCCTTCACGGAGGCTAGTGCGTCTCTGTCTGAAGTAGGGAAGACCGAGTCGTCTACGTAGACAAGGCTATAGAATGGGGTCTGGCTAGCACAAACGAAGAGCGAGGGGTCTGCAGACAATGGGAAGAACTGTAGGTCAGCTAGCGTATCACGCAGAGTGTCGTGCCACTCACGAGGCGCCTGTCATAGGCCGTAGAGCGGGCGTCAGAGGAGCCACAGGGTCCCAGGAGGGAAGGTACCGGTGAAGTCTGTGCACGGCGCAGGTAGACCTGCTCGTGTTGGCTGCCCTGAAGAAACGTTGTGAGAAGGAAAGAGAGTGCAACTCATAGTCACGCTGTGGTGCTACGTGTAGCAGCGCCCAAAGAGTGGTCATCTTTGGGGTCGGGGCGAAGGTCTGAAAGAAGTCCACAACCTCCCACTGACAAAAGCCTCTGTCCACGTAACGCGCCTTGAACACAAGCGGCACTCCAGGGGGGTGCTTCACCTTGAAGAGCCACCGGCCATCGACTACGTTCACCCCAGGTGGGGGAGCTTTGTCGACGTAGGCGCCGGTGGATCTCCAAGATGCCATCTGCTGCTCCATGGCAGCTATCCACTGAGAGGCCCACGGTCGTGAGGTCGCCTTAGCGTAAGTGCGAAGGGTCGGGATGTTAAGGGTGTCCAAGTCACCCTCAGGTACTAGCAGCATGGAGCAGAGATTGAGAGCGGCCTCAGAAAGGAAAGTGAGCTCGTACTGCGTGTCCTCTAGGACGTTACTGCCAAGGGCAGGAGCACCCTCGACGGACGGAGGACGGACAGGGTCAGAGACCACAGCGATGGCGTAGTCAAGGCGATGGGTGGAGGCGAAGTCAGCGATAGCAGCGACAAGAGCGTGAAGACTCGAGTCAGGAACAAACGGGTCGGTAACGAGAGAGGCAAGGACCCGAAGTATAAGAGGATGAGCGGCACGAAAGGTATTCGGACAGAGTAGGTGGAGCGATAACGAGCAACGATGGAGGAGGTGAGGGGAGGAGGGCAGGACGAGACACGTGGGAATGGAGCGACATGGGATTAGAGTGCTGGACAGGAGAGATAGGACGAGCGCGAGAGGGACAGTGAGACTTGAAGTGGGACGGAGGCGTCGAGTCAGGAGACTCAGGAGGAGTCATAGGAGGGGAATAAGGGGGGAAACGAGCATGGGATGAGTCCGGCGGAGGAAACATAGGGCCGCACACAGAAAGGGGAGGAGGCGGCGGGGGAGGCGCAGGCGAGCGGTCTGGGGAGGGAAGGCCGAGCAGGTGAAGGCCGGACACTGGCGGCGACTGCTGCTGTTGCTGCTCCACACCGACATCAGGACCGCCAATTTCACCACGGCTACCTCCGGAACGCTCCACTCCAGCACCCCCAGAACCAGCACCCCCAGAACCAGCACCCCCAGAACCAGCACCCCCAAAACAAGAACCCTCTCTAGCACTGGTGCCACCCCCAGGACCGCCGGGACAAGCCACGACAGGAACCCCGGGACGAACACCCTCCTCAATGCCCGCACCCTCAGAGTCCACGGACGGCTGCTGCTGCGGCGGCGGCGGTTGCGGCTGGGGTTGCAACGACCGCTGCGGCTGCTGCAACCGCGGAGGAGGAGACTCCGGGGGAGCAACAAGTGGCGAGAAACGTGCCTCGGGGCCACAAGAGTGAGCCGACTACTTGACCGGCACAACCGACGGGAGGGGAGAGACGTGAGACACACCAGACGGAACAAGATGGGGAGGGAGGGGAGCAAGGGCTACCAGGGGAGTGGGAACCAGAAATAGGGGCGGGAAAACTGGGAGACCTTGGTGGGGAAAGCAGTGGTAAAAGGAGACAGACTCGTCGAAAGTGACGTCACGGGAGTGAAGGAAGCGGTGAGACAGTGTGTGGTAAAAGTGCCAGTCAGACGAGTCAATGGGGAAACCAAAGAAGACACAGGGGACGGTGCGGGCAGTGAGCTTGTCCATGCCAGGGGCACGAACGTGAGCAAGGCAGCCCAAGACGTGGAACGCGGTCGCGTCACCAGGGAACCCGGTTCAAAGGAGGGTGCGAAACCTGCGGCTGCTGGGAGTGCGGCCACAGGTTAAGCTGGTGAGCGGCGTAGCGAACGGCGAACGACCATAGAAAATGGGGTGCCCCGGCATGGATCATGGAGGTACGAGCCACCTCCATGACCAAACCGATGCGTCGCTCAGTGACCCCATTCTGCTGTGGAGAGTCCGGTAGGGTGTACGACTGGGTGATGCCCTCCGCCCGACAAAGTGCCCAAGCCGACTGGAGGCGAACTCGCCGCCATGGTCGGAGTGGAGACACAGCACAGGGTGGCCGCGGAGGAAGCGCATAGCTACGACCCACGGGATAAGAACGCCAGGCACGTCGGCCTTCCGCTCCGGGGGAAACACCGTGGTATAGTGCGTGTAGTCGTCGACAAGCACTAGAAAGTAGCGCTCGCGACGCGGCCCAGCGACGGGGGCTGGGCCCCAGACGTCCAGGTGCAGGGTCTGGAGTGGTGCGGTGGCAAGGCGAAGCGAGGAGGAGTGAGGGGCACGGCGCAGCCGGCCCTCGACGCAGGGAGTGCACGGCGGCGCAGGCGAGGGAGGGAGGGCAGGGAGCGATGTAGGGAGACCTAGGACGAGACCATACTGATGATTCAGCAAGTTGTATGAGCCACAATGGGCATGTGTTTTGTCTGAATAACGCAGCTATCTTTTGGCAGAGAAAGAGGCAACCAGCGGTTGCACTCTCTACCACTGAGAGTGAGTACATAAGTTTGTGTCAGTGCATTTAGGAGGGTGTGTGGCTGAAGCGTTTGTTTGGGGAGTTTGGACATAGCATTTCATTTGGGAAATGGTGGCTGCTAGAGAGGTGACTTTGTAGTGGTGCCCCACTAACTGCCAGGCTGCTGATATTCTCACCAAGTCTTCTCCATTTGAGTGCCGTGGTGTATGCATGACCTTGTTCGGAATGCAGCCCCATGATGGCAGGTTTCCCCAACCGGATCTCGGTGTCACGGTGCTCGTATCCTTGTCTGATTCCATGCTCTGGATGGCCTCACCCCTTGGGCAAGGGGGAGTGGTGTGAAGCCGTTTGTCCTCTAATGTTGTAATGTGGTTGTGACGTTTTTCTTCCAGCCCTCGAAGCAAGGAGTGCATGCGGGGGCTAGTGAGTCGGAGAGGGCGGGGAGCGATGCGATGAGGCCAAATGAATGTCATGTGAAGCAGATGGGGGAGAGCTTGGTGACCTAAGCAATAATGCTACTAGAGTGTCAGTTGGGACTCTGTGTGCAGTGTGAAGTGACCGGACGCAGGATTGCGGTCAAAGGTGGCAAGACAGGCGCCCGTGGCGGTGTCCATATAAGCTGCATATCGCTCATGGCCTGGGAATGTGGTGGTGACGCCCAGGTTCTGGATATGGTCGACACCAACCAAGTTCCTTGAAAACGTGTGGATATGCAAGCCAGTAGGGGAGCCGGAGAGGACAGCCGAATAGGGGAGGGTCGTGGAACTGTAAGCGATGACTGCGGAAGGCGAGTCAGCGAGGAAGCCCAATGCCAGTGCAGGAAGCGGTGTGAGTGCAGTGTGGTGTGTGTGTGCCAGCGCCGGTGCAGTAGGAGGCACCGGAGTCCTGTGTGAAGGAGAGGGCCGCTGTAGTAGGGGCAGGGGAGGAGCCCCGTCGACACGTAGAAAAGGCTCCTAGACTACACACATCAGTGGGACCCCCCAGGCCCCTGGGCCTCCAGAGAAACCACGCAGGCCCCAGGGCAATGACCACCCCGGTGCCCAACCTCCAGGGCCTCCACCATGCCCAACACTCCCAAGACCCCATTGCGGCGGCTGCCCCTGCTTATGCTGCTGTTGTGGCGACTGCTGAGGCTGTTGTGGCGACTGCTGAGGCTGCTGCAGCAGCTGCTGCTGCTGCTATTGTGGCGGCTGCAGAGGCTGCTGGAGCTACTTCTGTTGCTGTTGTTACTGCGGCTTGGGGCAGGCAGCCCTGTAGCGTACCTCGAGGGCATCGAGGTGTGCGATGAGCTCACCAGTAATGTGGGCCTCCCGGAGCTCGCAGTCCACGTGCTGGCTCACCAGATGCCGGCGGAGAGCGAGAAGCCAGATAGCAAAATTGACCACCCGGCCTTCGTCGTCCAGTCAAGGGACAGACCTTGACAAGGTTGCCATGTCAATAGGGGAGGTGTTGAGGAACTCCAGAAACAAGGAGGAGACTAGTGGGAGGGACAGGGGCTGCAGGATCACGAACGGTGGGAGCAGCAGTGGCGGCTGTGGCCGGAGCAGCGGTCTGGCAGCTGGCGGCTGGCCAGTGGTGGCTAGGTGCTGGCGGCGGGCTGACCGCGGGCAGGCCGCTGGCGAGTGGCTGGCTGGCAGCTGGTGGGCAGCAGTGGTGGCTAGTAGCAGGCTGGCGGCAATGGCAGCGAGCGGCCAGCGACAGGCTGGTGAAGAGTCGGCTAGGAGCAGGCTGGCAACAGTGGTGTCTAATGGCAGGCTGGTGGCAGTGGCGGCTAGTGGCAGGCCAGCGGCAGTGGCGGCTAGCAGCAGGTTGGCGTCAGTGGCAGCGAGCGGTAGGCTGGCGGCAGCGGTGGCTAACGGCAGGCTGGTGGCAGTGGCGGCTAGTGGCAGGCTGACGGTCGTGGCAGCAAGTTGCAGGCCGATGGCAGTGGCAGCTAGCAGCAGACTGGCGGCAGTGAGCAGGAGGCTAACGGCAGTGGCGGCTAGTGGTAGGCTGGTGGCAGCAGTAGCAAGCTTCAATAAGGTGGGAGTGGCGGCTAGCTGGCGGCGACAGGCTGCTGGCAAGGGGGCAGTGGGCTGGCAGTGTGCCGCTGGCGGCGAGCTGGCGGTGAGCTGCTGGCGGCGAGCTGGCAGCAACGTGCTGGCGGTGGCAAGCTTTTTGCGAGCCGCTGGCGGCGAGCTGGCGGCAGCATGATGGCAGCGAGCTGGCAGCAGGCTGCAAGATGCTGGTGGCAAGCTGGCGTGCTGGCGAGCTGGCACTGGTAGCGAGCTGGGGAGCGAGGCGGCAACGAGCTGGCGAGTGGGGCGAGCTGAGCGAGCTGGCAAGCTGGTGGTGGCGAGCTGGTGAGCTGGCGTGCGGGCAGCGAGCTAGCGAGCTGGCAGTTGCTGGTAGTGAGCTGGCATGGTGGTGGTGAGCTGGCGAGCTGGCGAGCAAGCCGGCGAGCGAGGTTGTGGCTGGCTGCTAGCAAGCTGTCGGTGAGCTGGCGACTGGCGGCAGTGAGCTGGCGACTGGCAGCAGCGAGCTGGTGGCGAGCTGGCGGCTGGCTGCTAGTGAGCTGGTGGGGCAATCACCTTTTTATCCAAGGGTAATTGAGCTGGCTCACGATCCCATACCCCTATAGTGTGCCTTGCGCTCACCTCTTTCTGAACCCCTGCATCCCATGATGGACCCTTAGAACCATGCTTTCACTCTGACAGTGTGCATGGCAGATGACCAATGCACACACCCACTAGTGCAACACCTTCCACTTGTCTTGCCAGATAGACCATAGCTTGAGCTGCACCAGTACCCCCCCCCCTACCTCCTCACCACCGAAACCTGGCAAGATGCCAAGTACCCACAAACCTATCACAGGTGCTGAAGAGATAGTCACTGCCGCATCCCTAGCTCCACTGTTGGCTTTCTCGTGTCTGAACCCCTTGAGCCTCCTCTGTTACTTGCCTCTGGTCCTCTGGCCACCCCTTCTTGTGCTTCTTCCTCTCTGCTTATGCCTTCATGTAGAGATCCTTATCCGGCCACCATCCCCACATCCACTCTCCCACACTATCTTGTTATGTCATCACCAGGAAGTTCTGTTGGAGCAAGATCCGAACATCGAACTAATTGTGAATACATACAAAAAGTAGCCAAGTGCTAAGCTGGCCTATAACCCCTTGGCTCGCCCATGCAGCGGGCCTAACTTAACTCCCTATCATGCTGCTAAATCAGAAGAGAGGAGGTTGAGCCCTCAGCCAATCCCTGCTTGGCATCCATCCTGCCATCAACCTGCTAGCCCAGCTGGCCACCTGCACCCACACACATGCACACAAGAGCAACACGAACAACATAACTGGCCCCGACCCATCACCCCGAGTCCGGTCGAGCCTCGACCTTCTCCCAGCCTCCGCTTATCCTCCACCAAATCCCACACCTCCCAGGAGTCGCTGCCGCCAGCTAGCTCTACCTCCGACCCAGTCATTCTTGATAGCCACCCTCCTCTATCCAGTACTACCCCGTGTAACCCACCTGTTCCACTGCCTTACCCGTTGTATATATTTATGTACAAAATGTACAATATTGTCAGCATCTCGATGTGGACACACTCCGCACAGAAATTTTGGCAATTGTCGAAACTCAAGCTCCCCTGTTGGCTTTCTCCTGTCTGAACCCCTTGAGCCTTCTCTGTTGTGTGCCTCTGGCCCTCCGGTCACCCCTTCTTGTGCTTCCTGCTTTCTGCTTCTCCTGCCTTCCATGTTTCTGCTTATGCCTCCTGCCCCCTCCCGTACTCCTCTGCCGCCCTCGCCCGAGTCATGGGACCCTTGTAGCTGGACCCCTTTGCTGGGATGTCTGCCTTTTCTTCACCTTGAATGCCTCTGAACCCTGAGCTCTCCCCTCCCCTCTTGCGGCCAACCCTGGCCCCGTTGGTCACATGGTCCAGCACCCTCCTTCCATGCTCATTCTCTAGCACTATCACCCCGGACTCCCGCACCTCCTTCACCTTCCATCGCTGGTGGGTGACACCCACGTCTAGGGGTCCCCCGTCACACGTCGCAGATACACTTCCTCTTCCACGGCTACCGCTAGGGCCTTCTCCTTTCCTCCGTGTACTTGCTGCTGCTTGTACTGATGTATGTCTCGCAGCTGTGCCACATGCAGGTACTCCAGCGCCGCTGACAGCAGACTCTTCAGATACTGTGCCCTCGCGTCTGCTACCGCCACCTAGTTGTCCACCATTCCTGAATAGTAGGCAGTATGGCGACATCTCCCGTAGTGCCGCCTGCGTGCTGAAACTGTACCCCCCCATCACCCATGACAGTTGGGTGTCCCATTCGCTCTTGCGTGCTTCCCCATACGCCCATAACCCCTTTTTCACCGTCTGCACTAGGCGCTCGGTGAGGCTGTTTCCTTGGGACGTCACCCTGTGTTGCACCCCACACTGCACCAGCAACTGCTGGAATTATCCCTGCAACTCCGTGCTCTGATCCGTCACCACCTCCCCACATGCCCCAAAGTGTGTCAGCACCATCTCTTCAAAAGCTTCTGCCACTTCTTTTGCAGCTTTTCTCACCAATGCCCTCGCCTCTGCCCACTTGCTCGTGCTTTATCATCCGCACTATGTAGCGCCTGCCCCTCCTGCTAACTGGTAGCTCTTCTGCCACATCTAGTGACCAGCGGTACCCCAGCCCCACTATCGGTAGCGGGCTCAGCGCCGCTTTCTCCCTTTCCAGTTTCACCCGGTTTCTGATGCAAGCCTCACACCGCTCCACCCAATCCCGGATTTCTTTGCGCATCCTCGCCCACCACCAGCCTGTCTGCACTAGCTGCTGTGTCCGCAGTGGCCCGTAATGGCCCAGCTTGTTGTGGACTTCCTTAATGATGCTGATTTGCTCTTTTGGGTGCGGCACCCGCTTCCAGCCATCCTTTGTCCTCAGTTGCAGTTGCCCCTGGTACCATTGGTAGTGGTGTCCTCTCGCCCAAGCTCTTTCGCTCACCCCTGCTGCCTCGTTGGTGTCTCCCTTAATCCACCTCAGGAATTAGGCATCTTCCCACACATCCACTGCCCCACGCTGGTGCTCCTCACTGCTCAGTCCTTGCCCTTCCGCCTCGTTCGCCAGCAGTATGAGGCCCACGGACGGTCGTGCTGTCGGCGCGTTCCTCGACAGCCCGTCCACGTGCTGCATCATCTTGCCCGGCCGATGCTTGATGTGGAACTTGTATTCCTGTAGCTTCATTGCCCACCGTGCATTCATTCTCGTGAGTGCCTGGTTCTGCATTAGCCATAGTAGGGGCTGGTGATCTGTCTCCAGAGTGAAGGGGCTTCCCTGCAGATAGACCCTGAAGTTCCCTACCGCCTAGACTGATGCCAATCATACGCCGTCATATGATTATTTAGTTAGTTGCTGGGTTACGGCTTCGGCTGGCAAATGCCACCACTCTCTCCTGGCGGTCCACCAACTAGCATAACACGTCTCCCATCCCTGCACTGCTCTAGTCGGTGTACAGCACGTACGGCTTATCTTTCTGGGGAAGCTCTAGCAGCGCTCCGTCTTTCTCTGCACTAAGCAGGCCCGCTGCTGCTTCCTTCTGCTCTGCTCCCCATTCCCACTTTTGATCCACTCTCAACAGCCTGTTCAACGTCGCTGCCCTCTTGCTGAAGTTCGGGATGAACTTCCTGTAGTATTTGAGAAATCCCAACAGGGCTCGTAGCATGCTACTAGTGCTGCTCCACGTCGCTTAGATTCGCCTCTTCATCTTCACTGAAGACGATCACGCCGTCGATGTAGCACGCTGCTGCCGGCACCTCTTTTAGAGCCGCATCCATTGTCCTTAGAAAAAATGCGGAAGTGTTCCTCACGCCAAATGGCATGTGGTTCCACTCGTACAAGCCATCGGCCCCATAAAACACAATTTTATTTTTTTCCTCCTCGGCTATTGGCATCTGGTTGAAGCCCTGCCTGAGGCCCAACGTTAAGAAGATGTGGGCACTGTGCAGCTGTTTGAATGTCTCATCTGCTATGGGTTTCGGGTACTTGTCTGCTGCTGTCACCTTGTTCAGGCCCCGGTAGTCTACGCACATGCGGCACGAGAGTACCTCCCGTGCCAGGTCTGTCCTGGCCGCCACGAAGGTCGCTGCTGTGTAGTCGGACGTGGATGGGCATATGAGCCCCACGGCTAGCAGCTCCTGGCACTTCTCTGTGCAGATGGCGAGGTCCTGCAGGCTCATGTGGCGGCGGCGCCGACACACTGGTATCTTCGATGTCAGTGTCAAGCGCAAGATGGTGGTGATGCACCTGCCTAGCTGGTCCATGCTGTATGAGAAGCTGCTCTGGTACCTCCCCAGTAGCTCCTCCATGGGCCTTCTCCCTCTTGTTGTCTTGGCCTTTCCGATGTCCCACTTTGCTAGTCTCTCTTGTCCTGTCATTTCCCCACGCCTCTCCTCCTCAGGTTGCAGAGTTGGGCTATGGTCATGCTCGGCCTCCCCTCCTGTGCTCGGTCACGGTTCTACTTCCTGCATGCTATCGCTTTCTCCGCCTTTCTCGCCTTGCTCTCAGTTCCCCACTTTTATGGCCATGAATGCCACTTCTTCCCAGTCACTCGTCGCCTCGTATGAGCTCTCCTCTCCATCCTCATCCTCTTCTGATCCCTCCTCCCGCACGTTATCCTCTGCGCATTCTCCTTGTATCGCCTTGATCTCACCTCTCCAGTGTGCTCGCCGACACTCCACTAGTGACCCTGCGTCGATTTGTTCGTGTTCTTCCTTCTCCTTCACTTCTAGCAGCACTTCTGCGACGTGTAACTTCTTGGCGGCTTCCTTTGTCTCTGGCACCACCGCTGCTGCCTTGTCCCTCTTCATCTCAAGTCTGCACCTGCCGTGCTGCAGCATGATGGTGGCAATCAGCCATTGGAGTGCCCCCAGATCCATTGCCTGCCCCAGCACTCGACTCCTTTGCTCTTCTGTGACATCTGGGTAGGCTGTCGCGTTGGCCATGAAGCCCATAGCCAGCTCTCTCTCTCCAGCGCCATTGGCTCTTCCCACCTGTGCTTCCCTTGATCGTATAGCATGCCTAGGCCTGGATGCCCCCACTCCATCATGAATCCATATGCTCCCTTGTAGCCACCAGTGTCGGCCAGGCTTCCTGCGGCTGTCTGACCTTATTGGAGCTGTACTGCAACTTGTGATCCGCCGTGAGGACTGGTGCTGGCTTTCTTCGAGCTTCCAGAACATCCTCCACTAGCCTCGGTTTGGGCCTCTCCATCATGGACAGGTGGTAGCGAACGGCTGCCCTCGGCTTCCTGTCTGAACTCCGTCCCACGTCACACCTGCCCCCAGCACCCCTGTCGCTCCCTTGTACACCATTCGCACCTTCTCCCGCGGGTCGTGCGTGATGTCTACGTTCTTGATGACGTATAGTACTTCGCCTTGTCGCTCTTTGAGTAGGCGGAGTACTCGAGCCATCTCATGGAATAGTCCACTTCTGGGATCTTGCATGCCTTGCCCTCTGCCTATGCGTGAGTAGCCTTTGTATTCCCATCCTGCTATGACCAGGTCGATCTGCCCCCACTGCTCTAGGCACCGCTCATCTATCTTTCGTAGATCGTTGCAACTCCATACAGCCCCTGCCTCTACTGCTTCTGAGGGGTATCATTCTTGTAGCAGCTTGATGTGGTGCCACGCCATGCAACTTGCTGTCGGATTTGATGTACTTGTCCACTGTCAATCCTGCCTTCAGCGCCACCACCAGCCCTATCGCCACCCCCGCAAGCAGTTCCAAGAGTACTATGGGCCGCTGTAACACCTTGGTGTTGATGCATAATTCTTGCAGATCTAGGTTTGCTGCCCATCGTCCAGTCCTTGCTTCTCGGCTAGCTTTCTCTGCTTCATACTCCAATCCCATATGCCTACTTCCTCTGCTGCGGTCACCGTTGCCGCCTAGAAGGCCTCCCAAGGCTCTCGTTTAATGAAGCGCACCAGCAGCTGCCCCAACAGTCCCTGCTTCTCCTAATATTGCACTCTATATGACATGGTCTCTTCCCACATGCAGATCGTCGCGCCTATCTTGTGAAGGAACTCCACCCCCAGCAACTGGTCGTAGTCCTCCGTCTAAGACACTCCGCACTAGATTCTCACTGCACACTCCTCCTTCTTCCCCGGTTGCAGCACCAGCTTAACTATCTTCTGTTTCTTTGGCATCCATTTCGCAGCCCCGCCTTCTGGCATCATGAGCAGATATCCCTTGCTGATGAGCCGATTATGGTGGTTCGGCTTCAAATGCTCTGCTAGCCTCTTGCCGATGAGCACATGATGCGCTCCCGTTTCCACAATGGCCTGATTCACGGGGATGCCCCCCACTTCTACCACTCCTGCTTCCACCACTAGCACGGACGCTTGGCAGCTGAGGCATTCAAGCGGATGTCGACACGCTGTGGTCCCTGTTCCCTTCCTCTGTCGTTGCCGCTTGCCATTGTGGTGCAACGTCTCCTCACATGCTTGACGTGCCTTGATGTCTCTCGTCACTATGGAGCCACAGTTCCTCTCGATCCCGTGCAGGCCGCGCCATCAGCACAAACACTTCTTCACTCCCCCCTTTTTCCTCTTCTTGTGGGAACTGTGCTGGCTTCTTCTCCTCTCCACTTTCTATCTCGATCAGCTGCTACTGCAGTTCTCGATCTCTGCGCACACCTCGGCTGCCCCTCCTCGCACCGGCCTTACTTTCCTCTGTGCGTAGCAGTCGCGCTCTTAATGTCCCCTTCATCCGCATTTTGCGCAGGTAGGGGACTCTGGGCAGTCGCGTCACAAGTGGTCCGTCTCTCTGCAGCTGGAGCAGGCAGAAGGATTCCTGCAGTCGCGACTGTAATGCCCCAGCGGACCGCAATTGTCGCATTTCCGATTCTCGCCTCCACTGCGCCCTGGTCCTTTAGGCTCTCTCACCATTGCCGCCACCCATGCGAGCCTTCTGCAGTCTGGTGGTTGCTCTGCTTGTCAATCTGCTTCGAAAATCCGTCGACCGGTTTCCTCCCGTCGGGCTACTCGTAGGCCTCCCACAGCTTTGCTTTGAACCCCATGTCAAAGATCCTGTTCCGTACATCTTGCTGAAGCTCCGGACTTAGCTCTGTCAGGAACTTGATGATGAGCCGCCCCTGATCTTGGAGCTACATGTCCTCCTCTAGTTCCACGAGATGCCCATAGTATGCGAGCAGTGATTCCTCCATGCGACGTCTGAAATCTCGGAATTCGTGCGCTCGTTCTGGCGTCTGCAGCAGGAAATGCTCCTTCAGTATAACCAGGAACTTCTCGTTCGGTTCTCTTTCCCCCGATGGTGCCCCTGCTACCCAGTGCAGCAACTCGCGCCGCGTGATCCTGTAGTAGGTTTCGGCCTCGCCCGTTAGCGTGTTCGCCAGCCCGCGGAAGAACTCTTCTACTGAGAGCTCGTCCTTCTACCATCGCGCTTTGACGTTCTCCATCTGCATGATGTTATTCTTGAGGCTGGCCCACCGGGTCGCGTCGCCTAAGAATCACTCCAGCACTTCAATCTTTGGTACCTGCATGTACCGCCAGCGGCTTCCGCCGGCCTCCTCTGCCGACCCATGCCAGGAGGAACTCTGTTGGTACTTCACCGTCGCGGCTCTAGCTGCCCGTTTCAGATATTCCGCCCACTTCTTCTCCAGTTCATTCTCCTCCTCATCCACATCGAGATCCGCACCTCGTGCGCCTTCTTTCGGTATCTCCATGTCTGCCGGACTCTCGCTTGAGGATCCTTTGTCCTCCTGATCACCCTTAACCCCTCCTTCCTTATCTACGGGAGGTTCGCAATCCTTCTCCATTCCTGTTTCCTTCGCGTACTCCTTGCGAAGTGTGTACGATGGATGGACGTGATCTCATGTGGATGTGTGTTGGTGTGGACATAGAGAGCAAAAACTAAAGGATATTGGACCCCTCTTTCATGCGCATTTGCATTGCTCAATATGCTGATTTCCTCGAGAATGTGACGGGCAAGGTTGGGAGTAGGCTTAGGCTTTTGGGAAGCTCAAGCACAATAGTGCTACCCTCTCCCAGCTCCTTCCTCCATCCCTTGCACCATCAGCAGTGGCAAAGGATGATGCTGCTGTGCCTCTGTTATCGAACTAGCACATTGTATCCACCTAGCAGAGTGTGGCGGCGGGGAAACCCTCTGTCCACGTGCATTAGCCATTTCCCTCAGTCTCTCACCACAGCACTGTTACACATGCCACCTCCTCTTTCTCTGGTCATACTCCTCTTATTCTTTCTGCCAGTGTTTTTGAAGTACGCGAAGTGTGTCAAAAACACTGGCAGACAGCTTCAAATATTGATACCGATCTAATTTGTGCCTCCAACGGTATGTGTAAATTGGATCTGGAGCGCCTTGCTGTTGCCTATAAGCAGCAACTTGAATCATGAAATTTTATGAAGATATGACGATGCTATGGCCGTTTGATTGGCAGGAGGTATAGTGTAGCAGCCACTATAGCCTTAGAGTACAAACTTAGCACGAAGAATCGAGAGATGGTTCCCAGCCTCTACAAACCCCAAGAGCCGAGGTCCAGGTTGGTGGTACACCACCATAGATTCCCCAACCACGAAGAGACTCGAAACAAGCCCTACAAGGGGCTACACCAAGTGAAATGTAACAGTACACAAAGTAGCAATCCTATTTTCACAATTTTATTATTTATCCACGCCCCTCGACCTTGAACTCTTGAGCTCTTGGTCTTTGTTCTCCAAGATAAATTCTTCTTGAGTTGATGAGGGCTTGCTACACACACCTGCAATGCGATGGACACTTCACGCTCAACAAAATAGAAAAACACATGCGATGCGCAAACGACAACTTGACATGCGGGTAGTGAAAACTTGCTGATGTCTTGACCGACACAAACCGCATTGTGATACACCATTCAAGAACATACACAAGCACGAGATAGCAATGCAATAGACTCACAAAGGACGTTTTTTAGCCCACCATCTTCCCATCAGCACCCTTAAACATGGCCTTGCCCATGCCTTTCACCTCTGCTCGCTGCCCCAAAGCCGATGTAACATGCTTAACTGGCGATGATTCGAGTTCGGTCAGCAAGTCCGCAGGAGGTGTCATGCTTTATGTGGCGCCCCTGTCAATCACCTAATGGTCTAGGGTGGTAGAGAGTGAAGGGTGACGTTTCCCATAGAAGCTGGCTCCTCAAAGCCTTCCACACCTCCTGCTCTAGCTGCCACTT